AAACAGTAAACAAATAATTAATTAATGTGGCTGGGATCATGATGAACCAATCAAATTTGGAGGGTTCAGGTTAAAATTCTAGACCTCCTGATGCAGGTTAAGATTCCCCATATTTTTGGATAATCATTTCTATTTTAAACTGTCAGATGACTTTGTCCCACTGTTCTTATATAATGCCTTAATTTTCACGTTAGTTACGTATTTTTTTTTTGTAAATAATATTTTCGCAAAATTGTCACCAGCTATAAGCACTTCCAAACTTCCGAAAAAATTTTCGGTAATTATTGCAAGTGACATTTAACGTAAAATAAAAAAAATTTCGTCATTACAGTATCTTATGCTTTTTTTTTTAGTTCTCATCTTTTATCTGGAGAAATAGCGTTGCTAATAAAGAAGGCAGGAAAGTTGTTAGAAGAAAAGAATAAAAGACTTTGAAAGTAAATGTGCGTATTTTTTATTTCACAAAGGAAGGGTAACTCCTAGTTGGCTCTCAGGAATAGTGTAGGTATTTTTTTATCTTGGATATTAAGCTGGTCAATTTACCAACACTAGGTTACTTAGGAGAATTACTGGGTTCAGATACTGGTACCCACTCCAGGTGTTCTTGATTCGGACGCCCTAATTTTTTTGTTAATGAGGGTCTTTTATAATTTACTAAGCTACCTTATTTATTATTATAGAATCTCAAAAAAGAAAACAGGTTGAAGATAAAGTAAACGGTCAACTACTCTTTTAGTTGGGAGCTGTACATGCTATTACGATCAGTGTTGGCCAATTTGACTATTGGATATACATATAAGTCTAATTAAAAATAACTGAACTTATAACACTGATTACGATAAAACAAACAGCTAAAGATCTTATTAGAGGACCGTGATATGCTTCTTGCCAATCTTGAAAATGCAAATGCTGCTAGTAAATCAATATCATGGAATAAGCTTTAACAAACCTCATGAAACAATTATGTCCTCTCCAAATACACTTGACTCTATCGCCCAAACTGGGATTGCTACCACCTTTGCTATCAATGACAATATAGCAATAAAAACGACCTATCCATAATCGTCTGAGCCAGAATCGAAAGAGCCGAAAGAATGAAGTTCTAAAAAAAAAAAAATATAAAGGAAATTGTTAGAATTTGAATTTAAAGTTCTAAAATGCTAGATTCCAAAGGAATCAATTCGTATGGGTTAAAAACTAAATACCCTATATTTGATGATAACAATTATTTCGATAAATATAAATATATGATCTCAACTCCCAAATGACAAAGCAGCTGGGTCATCAGGTATACACAATGAAATGATAAAGCATCTAGGACCTGAGATGCAAAATCTACTCTGGCAACTCATCAAATACGGGTAACGGAGGTATAGATATCATCATAGGATTATTTAAATTAGTTATACAATATAAATATAAAAGTATATATATAAGGGTTTTTTTTTATCATTCATATCATTATTAAAATAAAAATATATGGTTAAGATAAAATATAAAAACTTAATTTATACATACACTACCCTCGGAAAAGTATCTGGTCAACCAAAATAATATTTTATTTATTTGAGATTTTCGATATAAATAAAACATTTAATATAT